CAGCACTAATTAAAAAAAAGGGGGACCGTATCTGCATGCAGCCTCGCTGAGTTCTGGGTATTCCCTGTACGCTGACACCACATACACCAGCTTAACCCAGGCGATGACAGCCACTGCAGGACTGGCAGCTCTGTCTCCAGAGCAGCAGCATGGCCAGGGATGCCACCGAAAGCCTGGGGCAGGGCAGGTGCCCGAGGAGGAGGATGATGGTGATGGGACCTCCTGTTGCACCAAGCCCCGTGTGGGTGGCAGCAGCAGTGGGTGCCTCTGCCCCCTCCCTCCTGGAGGTGAGGGCTGTGCCAGCAAAATGCATGGACGTCCCTACTCCACCTGTCCCCATCTGCCGTCGGGCTGCAATGTCTAAAACAGGCATGGATTTTCCTGTTTACCCAACGTCAGCGTACCTCCCCAAAAGCAATTGTGTCGGTTTTGTTTTCCTTTCCTCATACGTATCAGAAGGCAAACAGCACGATGTGGCTAATGGGATTATATTGACCCACCTCTGCCGTTGCTATTTATATCTGAAGAAATTCCCAAATGCCACAGCCCCAATGATAGTACAGTTGCCTGCCCGTCTTTCTTTTGCCAAACAGATTGGGGTCTTTTTACATTGGCAAGTCCAGTAATTGCTAGTCCAAATTTCTCTCCTTGCTAGTGTTAAGGAGCTAGGCACCAGATTATATATAGGAGAGCATATATAGAGAATATATAGGGAATATCCATTTTTGCAATGGATAGCAAGTTGATTTGCAATGTCATTTGAACAGTATCCAAATAGCCAATTCTTTTTTTTTTTAAAAAAGGAGGCTGAAGGGGTTTGGGGGCGGTCGTGTCTTTTTCTTGCTGACCGTAGAAACATAACCCACCCTTTTAAAAAAAGTGCATTCAGAATCTAACCCCGGTGCACAGGCTACTAAATTTCAATTGCTGTTTTTATGTCATTATTGCAACTGCAGTAACTCTGTAAAAGACAAGACAAAAGGTTGCTCTTTCCACTTTGAGCTCTTTCCATCCTCCACTTTTACAGCAAAGGTTACCCTGAGCAATGTGTACATCTGTCTCTTCTAAGTGTAGAAATACATATTATTCATACCTTGTCAATGTATATGCTGGAAAACAGAAGCTGAATTTATAGCTATATCTCCTCTCTGCCGGGGCTTTTAGAGTTGAGTGTTTCAATGTTTCCATTATAAACCCCTGTTTTCTGAGGTTTATAACAGTCTTGAAGAGCGTAGCGGTCTTGAACCATAATAGAAAGCGTGTAATGTTGCATTTACAATACAGCTGTAACTGCACATTAAGGCGTGTAATCTTCTCAGTGTACCCACAATGCTCCAATAAGGTTAATTGGAGTTACATATACTAAGAGAAAAACAATATTTTACCCTTGGAGTTGGTACTCTCCATCCAGAGAGCTGAGAGTATCACACAGGGACAGAGGGCATCTACCTGCACCAGACTTACAGAAATGCCATTCATTGCTACACCATTAAAATACCCGTGTGCATCTGCAAAGGCCCCTCTCAGCACCCACTTCCCTTGTTTGATGCCTCACTGCTTTACAGAGTTGGCCAAGGGAAACCAAAGTAAAAGTGACTGAAAGAAACTATATTTTATCAAATGTATGGTGAGGCTTTTGTCCTGTGCGGTGTCTCTGCTCTTTCTGCCCTCGGCTTCTAGTCTTGCATAAATATAGGTCCCATCTGAAAGCCCAGGCTATTCTCCATTTCCAGTCAGCTTACTCCATCTGGCATCTTGCATTCGTGTGTCACTTTGCTTACGAATATAAGGTAAATGAATTACAGTTCGTCATGACATCCCACTGTCCCTGGGCTGTCTGAAGTAGTCCCAGCTCCTTTGCCATGCATCTGGGTAGTTGCTGGCTTCTCTGGTTAGCCACAGACAGAGCAGGGGCTCTTAAGGAGAAAGTACCCCATACACTGGGGTACCTGTCCGACAGGTATGGCTTTAATTTAAACCTAGTTTAAATTTTTGTTGATGGCTGTAGGACTCTGCACTGGGCCAGTGCATCATGCCAGTTCGGTTGGTGTGTGAGTATAACCATCAGAGTTGGGCAAGGGAGCAGTGTCTGCAGGTAGTGGTGTTCTGAGTTAAAATGAATGCCTTAAAATGGATGGTGAGGAAGAAGAGCTCAAGTTAAAAGTGGACAGTTGCCAAGGCTGCTGGCCATGCTGATTTATCATTGCAATTGCTTACTTGAGCTTGTTGGACTTAATTGGCTGAAGGTAAAGAAAGCAGCAGCATGTTCAGAGTAGAAAGAAACTTCTAAGAATTGTTTAAAAAAAATCCCCGAGACTCTTGGAGCTTGAAGACTTTGTTAGGCTCTGTGGCGAGTACAAAGCAGTCCTCTCAGATTGTCACAGAGCCATGGTTTTCCACAAACCTTAGCTCTGATCAGCAGCCGGTAAAAAGATAAAGTATGATGGCTAAAAGTTTTGTTCCATGGATTTTTTATTTTTTTTTTTAATTTCAGTGAAACTGAGAAGGATACCTATTTTATTTTTGCACTAGCCCAGCCAGTCTAAGGTTGTGCTTATCTGCCACTTGGTAGAAGGCAGCAGAAGGTAGGAAGGAGGTAGGAGGCTGGACTCACTGTGAACCTTAGGCTCAGATCCCATCTATGCTTCAGTCTGAGAGAGCAAGTTAACGTGAGCGTCAGCAGGGTTAAAATCTTGTTGAGACTAAGTTCTTCGTGCTGTTTCAACTCATGTCACATTATTTAGTCTTCCACTTAACCTCTCTTCCCATGGCTAACGGGTCAGCTTATTGGGTTCACGCCCTTTTGCAAGTATTGCTAACCTCAAGCATTCAGAAATCACAAATTTACTCTCAGATTCATGAGACTGCAGGAAAAACATGCATTTTTTTAATCGACCAATTAAAATAGTTTAATTAGTATTTTAGCCCTGATCATGTGAGTTTCACAGCTATGGAACATTTTTTTCCTTGCTTTGAGGGCTTGACCTCTCTGCCCCCAGTAAAACCTGTATTTGTCACAATTGCACAAATGAATAACTAGTGCTGTAGCAAAAACCTGAACTAAGCCAAGACTTGCAGTAAGAACTTGAGATTTGGAAATGCTAGTTTCGTGATTGTGCAAGTTTGTTTTTTCACTTTTTCTTTTTTCTGCCCCCTCACCAGTTATGCCCATCCATGTTACAACATATCTGCTGAGAATGAGAGAGCCGAAGGGATTCCTGATTTGGCGAATTAGTGTACAAGGGGTCAGCAGAAAGGACTGCAGCAAAAAAGTGATGAATGGGAGAGCACAAAAGGCTGAACTAGAGTAAAGCCATCTGTATGTTACATGTGCTCTTCTGCAGCATGTAAGGGGCTGCAATTTGCATGTTAGTTATCTGTGCTCCCTTTCATATGGGTAAGAAGGCCTTTGGGAATATTGGGCACAATCTACCAAGAATTATTCATCATGTGATGCATAAATTTGGGCAGTGAATATCCCCTGGATAGGGGCATGTGTGAAGATAAGGCTTTGCAATGTATTTTATATTGCCCCTAGATTTGTCCCACAGTGTGAAGGTTATTATATGCCTTCCTGTGACAGCTCTGTGTGCTCCAGTGCACCATATGTTTTGTGTTCTTATTGCCATCTGAAAATATCCAGCATGACTTTCCACACTGCAGTTATTGACATTTTGAAATATTTATCATGGGGAACATTTTCAAAGGCAAGAGAGGCAACAGGGCACCAACCTCCCCCTGCCTGTCTACAGGAGTCAGAGCAGCGTTACCAAACCCTGCACCTGGTGTTCTCCAGGAGAACTTGTCCTGTGAAGGGATGTTTTTGCAGCCTAAAAGAGAGGCTCTGTGGATGCCGCTAAAGAATTGCTGAAGAACTGGGATTGGTCCTCAGTGATTACTTTGAACTGCCAGGTGGAGTCTCTGCAGTCGTATTGCCTTTCTATATGTGGATGTAGACTGATAGCTTCTGGGCTTCTTGAAGTCCAGAAAGTCATTACTGTGGCAATAGTATTAGTCTGACTTGCTTAATTTTGACCTTTCTTTTTCCTTTGTGCCAGCTTACCACCTCTTCTGTGCTGAGACTAGATGGTGGTAGTACCCAAGTTGTAATGGCTGTCCCGCTTTTGGCATGTTTGTATTGTCTAATCCATTGCACATTCTTTTGCTCTTTCTTTTTGCTTTCTTATTCATCTCAGAGAGATAATTGCATCCAGTCCCTCTGATTTTAGACAGTTAGAGGTAAAGCATAAAGGCAGAGTTGATACTGCCCACAGTTCCCAGATGAGACCTGATTCTACCATTCTTGGTCAGCCTAGGAGCCATAACTCATGGGAATGTTCTCTGTTCACATCTGTGGGGCTTCTGGAAGCATGTGCTATTTGAAAAAACAGTGGTGGGTCTCAGGTGAAGAACGCTTCTTTACCTCATCTGAGGTTCAAGGTTGTTGTGACTTTTGGTGCCTTCCTTCTTTTGTCATTTTGAGTTTTGACAGGGTATTGATAAATGTGTTGTA